TATGTAATGCAGAGGCTCTGCAGGAAGCTTCCTTCACTGGGCACATTGTAGTCCCATTTTAGGTATTCCAATCAGTTATAGGCAGAGACAGACTTACAAGCTTTCTATGGTGATATTTCTGGCTATTCCTTTCTCTCCCCCTCAAATGTCTGTTTTATAATGGTATGCAAGGGAACCCGAGATTAAAAAGACAGCCAAGCATCTTAACATTATTTCTCCCCTTTTCCCCATTTCCAACCATGTCTCAAGCCCTGTATCCCAGAGCCCTTTTGTTCCAAGGTTGTGCAAACATCCTTCTTTACCTCTGTTCCACTTAGCCCATGCAAACATGCCGAATTGTTCTCCCATCTGCTTTGTTCTTCCATTCCCCACCGCCTTCTTGTATATTGCCCCCTCCCTAGCACCCAAACTATCCTGTGTCTGTTCCCTTCCCTGTGCTCCACCTTCCCGTCCCTTTCTTCACCTCACGCCCCACATCCCAGCAACCAGCAAAGAATGCCCCCCTTTAGTATGTGTTCTTTTTCTTAGTCTTTTACAGTAGTGGTCCTATGCAATATTTCTCCTTTTGTGACTGACTAATTTCACTCAATATAATGTCCTCAAGGTTCATCCATGTTATGTGGTAGCTTGCAGCTTCCTTGTTATTCTTCAAGGTAGCATAATATTCCATTGTGTGTATGTACCACAGTTTGTTTATCCATTCTTCAATTAATAGGCACTTTGGCTGTCTCCATCTTTTTGCTATTGTAAATAGTGCTGCTATGAACATTGGTATGTTTATATGTACTTGTATATGGCTCATATTTCTTGTGGGTAAATACCAGGTAGAAGAATTATTGGATCTTGAGGAAGTGCCATATTGCTTTCCAGAGAGGTTTGTCCATTTTTCAATCCCACCAGCAATGCAGCAGTGTCCCAGTCTCTCTGCATCCCCACTACATTTATTGTCCTCTACTTTTTTGATCTTTGCTGTTATTGCTGGTGTGAGATGATATCTCATTGTTGTTTTGATTTGCATCTCTCTAATGGCTAGTGATCGTGAACATTTCTTCATGTGTTTGTTGGCTGCCTGGATCTCCTCCTTGGTGAAGTGTCTGTTCATGTCCTGAGCCCATTTTTTCATTGGGTTATTTGTCTTTTTCTTGTAGAGGTGTTGTAGTTTCCTATATATTTTAGAAATAAGTTCCTTGTCTGATATGTCATTGCAAAAGATTTTTTCCCATTCTGTGGGCCCCCTTTTCACTCTTCTGGTGAAATTTTTTGATGCACATAAGTTTTTAATCTTTAGCATGTCCCATTCATCTATTTTGTCTACTTTTGATTGTGGCCATATGGTTCTTAATGGCTGATTTTTCTGAAGTAGAATTCCAAGCTTTTCTTCTTATGTGCCCTTGAAATTTTCAGTTGGCAGTTGAGTGCTTAACCAACTGCACCACCAATTATATACTTTTACTAGCAACAAAAAATCATTTTTTAACATTGTCAGATAATGTTATGAGTATTTTGTACTTATTAACATATTTTATTATTACACTAACCCTGATGTATGGGAATGAGTATTTTCCTCATTTTACAAATGAGGATATGAAAATCCATAGGGGAATTTTTTTTTGTGTGTGTGTGTGTGTGCTCAAGTGTCTATCGAGAGTAAATAGAAGGTTCTGAACTCTCACCACTTTTCTAGATTGATCCCATAATTAAAAGTAAATAACTTTAGTCTTATGTAACACATTTATATATTCTTGACACTTGGTTAAATGTTCTTCATGGATTTTTCTAATTCATAACAACACTATTACCTTCTGATTTATGAAAGGGAAAACTGAAGCTAGGTCATTCAACTCTGAAGCTCATGATCATAACTGTAGTGCTATGTTGCATCTGACTATCTCTATTTTTTTTATTGCTTTCAATTTTTTAATATACAGAGAACCATGAAAAATAGATGGGGAAAAGTTAGGCATGAACTCTGCCTTCAGATGCTAGATATTCATGGTCGTTGCTGTTAGCTGGCAATGAGTCAGCCCCCAGCCCATGGCAACCCCGTGCACAGTGAGATCAAACTGTTGTGATTCGTAGGGTTTTCATTGCCTGATTTTATGGAAGTAGATTGCCAGACCTTTCTTCCTAGTCTATCTTAGTCTGGAAGGTCTGCTGAAACCTGTTTCATATCACAGCAACATGCTAACTTCCACTGACAGATAGTGGTGGCTGTGCATGAGGCTGGGAATCAAACTCTGGTCTCCCACATGAAAGGTGAGAGTTCTACCACTGGACCACCATAGTTCTCATTTATACAATAGAATTATTATCTCATTTATATAATAGAGTTAAAACATGAATATCACAATGATTTCTTTCCTAATTACCTTTTAGAGTATATTAGAGTTTCCTCCAAATCCTCTGAGAAGAGAATTTTCCCCTCTTGCTTTGGAAAACAGCATGAAAAACATGTTCTCATCATCTTACCAGCCCTGTTATTTTAAATTTTTTCACCAGAGTAAAAGTTTTTTTATCCATATTTAAAGATAAGATTCAACAAAGTGATTTACATTTACTAAATGATTTATTACTTATCAGGACTGAAAACAGATATTTTGGGGAACTGTGGGCAAACCTCATCTATTTCACAGTTTGGACTAAAGCAACAGGTTTTTAACTGGACCAGGCATGAGAATCTACTGAAATGCTTAGTTAAAATGAGGTTTCCCTGGTAGCACAGTCAGGGACTGTAAACATAAATTTGAGGAATCTCTATCCAACATGTATTTCAGGTAATTGTTGTGTCAGGTGGTTTTTTGAGAACCAATAGACTAGGTTTACCTTTACATCATATCTTTCATCATGTTTGACAAATCCTACCAACCCAGTATGATATTATTTACTATATATTATTCACAATATATTATTCATATAGCATTTTTTTACATATCTACTACTTGGAAACCCTATACAAAGTCACTATGAGTCAGAACCAACTTCACAGTACTTAACAACACCTGCTTCCCTGTCTCACATCTTATATATTATCTTAAAATATGTATAACATGGATGAACCTGGAGGACATTATGCTGAATCAAATAAGTCAATTACAAAAGGGCAAATACTGCATAGGATCAATATTATTATGAAAAGATTTTCACACACATAAAAATACACATGGGTTAGGAGTAACTTAAGAAAAACACTCTCTGCACATTCCTTAATATAGTTCTTTAGCTGAGTAAGATGGATAATATATGAATAGATCAAATAAGGTGAAGAAATGCCTGTGCTATTTATGTTCAATATCTGCTTTTGTATAATCACTCTGTTGTTATAGATACACATATGGAAAGCCTGTCCCTGGTCTGGTGACAATTAATGTATGCAGACAATATTTACAATACCATTCCAACTGTCAGAACACCCGTTCAAGATTAATCTGTAGTAAATTCAGCCAACAGGTATGTGAAAACCTCTCTTCTCCAAGTGCTAATAACAAATCTGTATTTTTCTTGGATTACAATAGTGAGTACAATACAACAGTATCTTAAACACTCAATGTGGGAAATTGTGGAGTAAGGGAAGCATTGTAAGATTGCCTTGCAGTGTTAGGGGCCTACTTAAGGGGTTTTGTTGTTAGTGGAGAGGAGGACTTGAGGATGGGAAACAAGAATTAAAGCGGCATTAATTTGGCCAATTTGTAATTTCCTTTCTAGAGCAATCAACACATTTGGCAAAGGGAGATAAAAGGATGTGTCTCAAACTGGCTTTTGCCAAACAGCGAAAGAAACATAACGGGTGTTAACAACTTGGCTAGTTGTTGTTGTTAAGTGCCATTAAGTTGCTTCTGACCCATAACAACCTTGTATAAGGTTTCCAAGGAGCAGCTGGTAAGTTTGAACCACCAACCTTGCGGTTAAAACTGATTTAGAGGTCCAGCACATTTACCCACAGCACCACACCAGGACCCCTAGTAGCAGGATCTAAACTGCACAGGGAAGAATATGAAGCCAGCAGTGTAAGGAGACATACAGAGATAATAGACTGGAAGAGGCATACAGGGATAATTATACCAATGAAAAAGTGAAATATGAAGAATAACGAAAAGAAACAGCTGAAAGTTAAATATACTATAGTACAAAAATGGAACATAAATTAATGATCTAGAAGAAGAATACTTAGAAGTGAGCAGCAAGTATGAGTAGACTTCAAAAACTTCATTGAATTAAAAGACAGTGTAATTTTCCACAAACTTTTTGAAGTCCCCTACTACTGTGTTGTGTTAAGCATCATCGGATTGGTTTTGACTCATAGTGACCTTATGCACAACAGAACAAAACCCTGCCTGGTTCTGTGAAAGACTCACAATTATTGTTATGCTTGAGCCCATTGCTACTGGCACTGCCAATCCATCTCTTTGGGGTTCTTCCACTTTTACACTGACCCTGTACTTTACATGATGTTCTTCTACAGGCACTGGTCCCTCCTGATAGCATGTCCAAAATGTGAGCGATGAAGTTCCATCATCCTGGTTTCTAAGGAGCATTCTGGTTATATTTCTTCCAACACTGATTCATTTACTCCTCTGGCAATGCATGATACTTTTAATACTCTTCTACAATACCATAAACCAAATACATTAATTTGCATTATTATTCAGTTATTAGGTATGGTCTTCCTTATTCATTGCTCAACTTTCATATGTGTAGGAGGCTACTGAAAAGACCATGGCCAGTCTTCTAACTGGGGAGCACAGTGGCTTCATATGTTAAGCACTGGAATGCAAACTACAAGGTCTACAGTTCAAGTCCACCAGCCACTCTGCAGGGAACAAATGAGGCTTTATACACCCTCAAAGATCTGAAGCCTTAGAAACTCTATACAGGCTCGCTATGAATCAGAAACAATTCGACGGCACTTAACAACATAAAAAATTCTTAAACTGACATCTTTGCTCTTAAACACTTTAAAGCAGTCTTGTGCAGCAGATTTGCCTGATGCAATACATCCTTTGACTTCTTGACTGCTGCTTTCATGAGTGCTGATTGTGAATCCAAGAAAAATTAAGTCTTTGACAACTTCAATCTTTTCTCCAATTATCATGATCTTATTTATTGATCCAGTGGTGAAGATTTTGGTTTTCTTTACATTGAGATGCAACCCGCACTGAAGGTTGTGGTCTTTGATCTTCACCAATAAGTATTTTAAGTCCTTCTTGCTTTCAACAAGTAAGGTTGTTTCATCTGTATATCACAAGTTGTTAATGAGTCTTCCTCCTATCCTGATGCCACATTCTTCTTCATACAATTCAGCTTCTCAGATTATTTGCTCAACATACAAATTAAGTAAGTATGGTAAAAGAATACAACCCTGGCACATACCTTTCTGGATTTTAAACCATTCAGTGTCTCCTTGTTCTATTTTAACAACTAACTCCTGGTCTATATACAGGTTCCTTATGAGAACAGTTCAGTGTTCTTGAATACCCATTCTTTGCAATGTTATCCAAATCGTGTCAAGATCCACACAGTCAAAAGATTTTGCATAGTCAATTAAGCACAGCAATGATATTATACGTTACCCACATCTTTCTCTGAATCCGGCTTGAACCTCTGGCAGTTCTCTGTCAATGTACTGTTGTAGCTGTTTTTAAATTACCTTTAGCAAAATTTTACCTACATGTAATAGTAATGATATTGTCAGATGATTTCCATATTCTGTTGGATCTCTTCTTTGGAATGGGCAAAAATATGGATCTCTTCCTATGTGATGGCAATGTAGCTGTCTTCCAAATTTCTTAGCATAGATGAGTGAATGCCTCCAGTGCTGCATCAGTTTGTTGAAAGATTTCAATTTGTATTCCATCCATTTCCAGAGCTTTGTTCTTTTCCAATGTCTTCAGTGCACCTTGGACTTCTTCCTTCAGTACCAATGATCATATGCTACTTCTTGAAATGGTTGAACATTGGCCATTTCTTTGTGGTGACTCTCTGTACTCCTTCCATCTTCTTTTGATGTTTTCTGCATCATTCAATATTTTACCCATATTGTTGTTGCTGTTGTTGTTAAGAGCCGTAGTCAGTTAAGCAGCTGGTGACCACAGAATCCTTCAATATTTCAAGTCAAGGTTTGAATTTTTCTTCAGTTCTTTCAGCTTGAGACATGGTGATCATGTTCATCCCTTTTGGTTTTCTAACAACAGATCTTTGCACATTTCATAATAACACCTTTTCTTCTAGAGCTGCACTTTGAAATTTTCTGTTCAGCTCTTTTAGCTCCTTGTTTCTTCCATTTCTTTATCATCTCTATACTCAAGAGCAATTTTCAGAGTCTCTCGTGAGATCCATTTTGGTCTTTTCCTTTTTTCTTGTCTTTTTAATGATCTTTTGTTTTCTCCATGTATGATGTTCTTGATGTCATTGCACAATCTTCTGGTCTTTGATTATGAGTGTCTAATGCATCAAGTCTTTCTTGAAATGATCTCTATATTCAGGAGGATATGCTCAAGATCATATGTTGGCTCTCATGGGATTGTTTTAATTCTCTTCAGCATCAGCCTGAACTGGCATATGAGCAATTGATGGTCTATTCCACAGTCTATCCCTGGCCTTATTTTGGCTGATGATAAAGAGTTTTTCTACCATCCCTTCCCACAGATGTAGTGAGTTTGGTTTCTGTATAGTCCATCTGGGGAGGTCTACATGTATAGTCATCTTTTATGTTTTTTTAATTGAAAAAGTATTTGCAAAAAATAAGTCATTAGTCTTGCAGAGATATGGGGCGAGAGGGTGGGGAGGGCGAAAGATATTGAAGCCACAGAAGACAAATAAAAGAGAGTCCAGGGTGCTGAATGGACTACTAAGATAAACAATGAACAAGATAAATTGAAACATAGGACTTAATACTTAGTTTGGAAATACATATATTCTTATTAATATCCTTGTTGTTGTTGTTGTTATGTGCCATCGAGTCGGTTCCGACCCATAGCGACCCTGTATAGGGTTTCCGAGGGTGTAAATCTTTA